TTGTATGTATAAATATATATAGAGAGAGTTATATATCTGTATGAGTGTGTGTTTGTATGCCTATGTGTGTGTATATAGATGTATACATAGTTTTAAAATTAAACACTGATACTTTCGGAGCATAAGTTCTCATTCTATGCTTTAAAAAAGGAAAATACAGTTTCATTATTCTGTGTTCCCTTATATAATTCTCTTCTGGGATGCACGTCTGCAATAACCAAAGCACTGCTATTTAGATATGGAGATATGAATCCCATGTTTTTATTATAAATTCAACTTCACTCATACCTTATACCCTTGAAGCAATTTCAAATTACTCTTATTACATGGGTCACTAGAAATCAGAAACACTAACACAAATTTAAAAGAGAGAGAGGGAGAGAGAGAGAGAGAGAGAGAGAGAGAGGGAGAGAGCCCCGCACAATTAGATGCTGGCTAAAGGTTTAATCAATTTGATTTTATCACTAAATCCAGTCCTTCCTCTTCAGCTGTCAGTGAGTGAGATACGCAGAGTATGTCAGATGGAGCCGAGGGGCTGTGTCCCTCACCAGCCAGGATGACACAAGCGAGGATGACTGGCATTAGAGGAGACCGAGAGCCACACACCGCTCTACCCTCATCCTGAGCACAATTTTTCTATTTCATTAATTTTTCATGGAATTTTATTTAACTACAAGCCTGTGTCTACCATCCATCTGCTTTACTCCTTCTATCCCTTTTGCCAACTTTTCATTTGCATTTCACAACACCCAGCAACCTGCTCCGTTCCCTACCACCTTCCCGTGATTCATCCATCACTTTACTTTTATACAGCTCCCTTGGGTTGGTGTTCTCAAAATTCATTTTCAATTTTCTAAAACTCTACATTACCAACCACCTTGGAATAATATCTAAATTTTAAGAGATAACTGTTTTTATAAATTTTATTTTCCTGTCAAATGCTTCAAGGAAAGAAACGCCATGTGTTGATGCTTAAATTCAATGTAACTAGCTTCGGACTTACCAAATGATTGTTTGTATAGCATTTCAAACAGTTCTCCCAAGTTCCTCCCTTTCCAGTTTATGAAGATTGACACACCTCACAGAGAACCCTCTCCTCCAATTTGCCTCGTGAACTCAGCTGCATGTGTATTCTATTCCTCAATATGTTTGCCTTGAAGGAATCTTTTTTTTTTTTTAATTTCCACAAACTTCAGTCATTTCATACGTTGTATATAATGATGGGTAGAATTTTAAGAACTATTTTATTTTCAAACTGCATTTTATATTCATGCCTATATCCTTTTAGGAGAAATACACTTACAAAATGCAAGGAAAGCAGGTATACAAAGCAGAATATATGCACTATTTTAATAACTAAAAATATATTTATGATATTTTTCAAAAATATTACACTAAAGTTATCTCATGGTTCGGAGATTAACTGATAACATTCTAAGTGATTTTTGAAAATATTCTGTTTTGATGATTTCTACCTTTTATTCTACCTGGTAGAGCTGATGCTTAATATTAAAAAAAAAAAACCTTTATCTTTATTATTTTGAATTAAAATGTATTCTTTTATAATGTTTATAATTCAGTTTTTTTAAAGATATAATACAGACATTATCCTGTACAACCACACAAGACAGTTTTGGTTGTGCACAACAATCTTGCCTAATTCTACCAAGAACTATAAAATAAAGTGCAATCTCTCAGTACCGTCCAGGAGAAAGGAGTTGTGCATGGTGTAAGTGATGACAGAACCAATCTTCACAAACTGTTAGTGTTACTAGTATTTTTTAAGTCTCTGAATGGAATAGAAGCAGGATAAACTGGTATGTCTCACATGTTATATGGGATACAAACATTGACTTTCATATTCCTTATATGTAAAGGGATGTTTCCTCTGTCCCTACAGTTTTTTTTTTCCGCAGTTGCTTGTCTTCCTCTCATATAAAAGTCAAATTTTGGTACTTATCGTTTGTATAAATATATAAATAATTTATAAATAATGTCTAAGAGAAAGTTCCAGCTAAAAAATTATACATAGAGAAAATGTAAAACTGCATGACCCTAGGTCCCAATAAAATAATAATAACTGGGATTAGTGGGTGGGAAGATTTATTTAAAGAGTATTCTTTTACATTTATCTAAGAAATAAATAATGGCTTCTGACAGTTAAGACCCAAATGTTGTCTTCTGGCCCAATTTTTTTTTCCTTTTTTTTTTTTCTTTCTTTTTTGGATCTTTAAAGATACACACTTCATCTTGTGTTCTGTGGTTACTAAAAAGTACCTTGTACAGGAGTGTATTTAATTTACAAGACTATAGGTTATATTTAACAATCATGAAAATATTGTATCATTACCACATTTAAGCCATAGCTACAAAGTGTTTCATTTCAGCGCCCGTAGAGTGTTTTGACAATAAAAAGTGTATCATAAGAAAGCCACTTTTAGAGTACAGGTGTCAAAAAAGGATAATGTTTCACAGCAATGGAAAATTGAAAGTTATGATACACCTTAAAAAACCCTTATTGCCCATTAGAAGAATATATATATATGTATATATATATCAATCATAGGCCAAAAGGTCAATATTTATCTAAATTATATTTATTCACTTAGAAGAAGAGCCTTTACTTCGTGTTTACAATTAGTGTTTTCAATGAGGACCTAACAGAGCTTTCCTAGAATTCCTTAACAGTCATCTATATACATGTGGATTTATAAACTGTGACAAGTACATAGTTTTACTATTAGATAAGCTTAAGTCGAGGCTATTCTGTTCAATTACAATTAAGATTCATGACTATTAGGACATAATTTAAACTCACCATTATTCTTTGTAGAAGAAAAAAACAAGGGTCTGGAATAATTAGAAATTACATCTAAACTGATCTACGCCCAGGAAAATGTCGATCATCATTAAACATGTCTGTAGTTTGAATATTATGATTTTAAATTTGATCATGTATGTTTACTATGTTAACTTTTCCCCAAAAGTGAATATTTGGCAATTAGATTTGACTTTCCTAACAATGTAGCTTGTCAGCAGGTCCTACAGGGTATTTACTCACACGCAAATCCATCCATAATAAGAATTGGCATAGAATCTTAATTGCCCTTTTCCACTTCAATTTTTAGTTATGAAAATGAAGAGAACTGGTATATACAAACTAATCAAGACACAGGATTTTTTGCTATATGAATCTTATTTTGAATTGCTATAGTTAAGTTTAGAGCAAATGAAGTCTTTCTCCAGGTTTCTGCTTTCCCCTGAAATCGAATGCTTTCTAAACCAGCATGACTGACATTTATTGGTAAGGCAAATGCATTTGGAGAAAAGCAACAATTTCCATAGGCTTCTATTTCTATAGGTTGCAGTATTGTGAAATGTTATTCCACATGCTTCCATTTTAAATATTTAAATAGACTGAACAAGAAATAACAGGAAATATAAACCTTGAAGTATAGAGATGATGTTTCCTTTTTCCTGTTTTTTTTTAAAAGTCATATTCATTATTGAGTTCTGTGATTTGCTCAGTATCAATGTCACTTTGTTAGCATTATCTTTGGAAGACACTAGCAGGGCTCTTTCAAAATGATATTTTCAAATAGCAAAGTGAATAGCAAGCATGCATCTTAGCAGCTTGAGTTAAGCCGAAATTATAAAAATCACCCCTTTCTGAAACTGAAGGTTCTGAAACCTTTGAAGAAAGTAGGCTACATTTGCTCTCGGTGCCTTGATGTGCAATCAAATTAATGACTGTTTGCTACTGGCATTTATGTCTTGGCTAACATCTGTTTCTGGAAGAAGTAATAAAAGAGTTGGGGTCTGTTACAACATAGTTTGGAAACTTATCTGAGGCCACCACAAAGATGAATATTCCTCAGCGAGGAATATCCTCAGGAGGCTATACGACTTTCACCATATCTAACAATGCATCCTGTACTAAAACATCTGGAAAATCTGGTAAATTTGAGTTGTGCCTTTCCAGTTATGTCTTAGACCTCTCTATTCACATTTTTTTTTTCCTAATTGACACATTTCAAAAGGATAAAAAACTGAACTTTCTTTTGCAGACTCCTAAGAGGAGCTGACAAGAACACAAGTTCCTCTCTGGGAAAGAAAAGGCAACATTGGAAGAATGTTTTAATCCTTCTGTAGAATGCGCCCAGCCTACGATGACATTTTAGGACCGAGCCTCTCATAGAAGAGCAATTACTAATTTTGCACAAGTTCAGTGTGGCAGCCCTTGGCTTGGGATGGCATGGACTAAGTTCAGTACACCCAAGCTCCAAGACTCTCTGGTAACAAGGCAGAGAATGACAGTTCGTCAGCAGCAACCTGTCATCCGCTCCTATTCCTTCTTTTCTGATTGCAGTTGTCTCATCACTAACAGCTTATGTGTCTGTCCGCGGGTTAATTCCTGCTCCTTTCTCCAAAGGATGAGCTCTGAGCTCTTGGTAGGTCCCAGTGTTTACAAACGGAGACGGGAACGCACGCTAAAACGGACAGCCCATTTGGGGAGGCGAGGGCCAGGGTTTTGCCCACTTTTTCCTCCTAGGCAATCCGGATGGGAAAAGCTGGCACAAGGGCTCCTTCCCTCGTTTTCAAGGATATTGGCTTAAGTGAATATTTCCTTTGGCACTTCGTGATATGGTGGCCTCCAAGAGGGTCTAAGGTAGTGGTAGTCCCGAGCATGGAGAGGACTGCGGCACCCGAAAAGGGACGTCCCTCCAAAGGACGGAGCTGCGCACCACAGCCCTGTCCCCGTCCCTGCACTCGCTCCTCTCAGACACCTCTCGCTGAGCGGCTACTCACTCTGTTCCCTCCGGGCTTGAGGAGGCCCAGGCCGTTTACAAAGAGATCTGAACTCCCAACACCCTGCTCTGAGAGGATATCCCACCAGCATCTTAACTAAAGTGCTGCTGGTACAGGCAACCCGGGCTAAGAGGGAGGGCGCGGGAGACTCAGAGTCACAGCAGGCGGGCGAGCGCAGAGCGCGATCTTACCTTTCCTCTTGGACCGCCGCCGCCTCCGCCTCTTGGACTTGCATTTGAGTTGGCTGCTGAGCCCTCCGGACCCCCTGCCGCTCCCCAGGACGGATGCCATCGCTGAGTCCCCGCCGGGAGAACCGAAGAGGAGGCTTCCTTAACAAGTTCACCTTTGTGCTTTCTGTCGCTGCCGCCGCCGCTGCTGCGAAGGCTTTTGCTTTTGCAAATCTCGGAGCGGGCTCACTTTTTGGGACTGAGCACAGAGTACTCTTTCGCTTCCTGATTGTTCCCGGTCACTTAGTTCCAGCCGGGCTGAGAGCCTGGGTGGAAGCCCTTCTGCTGAGCCGCTGCGCCGGAGCAGAAGGAGCTGGGAAGATGAGCTCTGGCGTCCTGAGCGCGCCGAGCTCCTGGCCAGCGGCCCCTTTATCCAGGCGCCCAACGCAGGCTGCTACTTTTGCACCTCTGCTAGTTGTTTGGCACCAGCCACTTTGAAGCCAATCACGCAGGGAGCTTGTCTATTTGCTGCTGCAAAGTCTAATTAGATCCAATCACAACTGTCTTCTGGCTCTGACATCAGCAGCACCAGCCTCACCGCCCCCGGCAGCTTGCAAACTCAGCTCCCATTTGGACGATGGAGCTGCCCAGGACCTGGCTGCGGAGGGAGGCTGCTCTGAGAACAGCAATAACACAACGCCTGTTTATCTGGGAGCGGCCCAAGGGGGCGACGCACAGGGAGGGACCCTTCCCCGGCGTGACAAGGTTTCCTGCTGCAACCACTCCGACAGCTCGCCAGGCTCAGAAAGACGCATGGACCGTTTACTTCAACCCAGCAGTTTCAACTAGTTAATTTATTATAATGCTCCTTGTGTGAAGGGGGGAAATACCTCTGTCCGAAATACGGAGACTTCACTTCCACAGAAAGGGACTGAGCTTTGCAGTTCCCTGGGAGACAGCTTCTTTAGGGGTATTTATTTCTCAGAGATTGCATGTTTGTCTGTTTGCTTGTTTGTTTTGTTATGGTGTTGTTTTCCCCCTTCATATCCCCTGGCTGTTCCCTTTGCAAAAGAAAAACATTGCATAAAGACAGTGTTAGGATCTGAGTCTGATTTTCAGAGTGAGGGATTTCATATGTTTCTTTACTTAGGGAACAATACATCAAAGATAGAAAGGACTCTTATCTGTTAGTGTTATTGCTAAATGCATCCTTCTGATGAAAGGAAATAACATTAACAAAGAGGTAGATTGCAAATTGAAATAGTTTTGAATCTTTTTTTTTTTTCAGGAATAGCCTGTTTCCAGACAATACATATGGAACCGTAACACTACAACATAAAATATAAGACTGTAACTCAGCAGGTGTCACTCCATCTTATATTTAAAATGCATAACCTATTAATTAAAATAGTAATGATTTGAATGGGCATGCACTCTAAAATTCACGAGCACACATTAACATGTTGAGATGAAATGACACACGAATATTTCTGTTATTCACTGCTTTGTACACACATTTTTCAAGCTCCTTATGGGCCTAGAAATTTCCAGCTAATTTTCCTTTTATAAGAAAAAAATAATTCCTCTGGAGGACATTGGACATAATTAGGACATTCATGTGTTGTTATATGGTGAGTTGAAAGGTCATAGCCCAGTTTTCACTGATGAGAGAAATGGAGGAAAAAGAGAATTAATTTAAATTCTATCTCTGTTGCTGTGACTTTGGGCTTAATAATAGTTAAACTATGCCTTGGTTTCCTCATCTGTGAAATGGGGATAACAACAATAGCTACTTCAGAGGTTTGTTCACATAGGAATAGTACGTTGTATCACTCTATGATTGTTTATCTGGCCAATATTTTTTAATTAGCATATGTTTAAGATAGGCCTCAGAGAGAGGGGGCTTGTATATTTCCCTTTTAGGACATTTAACTGTCTAGCTCATTTCAGACTGATGACTACTATCGAACAGCATCCCTCTTCTTTGCTGTTTAGCAATTCTCTTCCATTGACAACACGGTTTAATGCTGTTGATAATTTCTAGAATTGAAATATTGAGAAAGTACATGACTCACCCACTTTCTCTCTACAATATAAAAGATATTTGAGAGCTTAAGCTGTATCCAGAAATGCAGCTGTAAGACTGCTTGTGACACTTCTGAGGTTCATACAATACGCCTGCAATAATCCAAAGTTGTCCTACTTAGGTGCCTGCAGAAAACCCATTGTGGAATTGAAACACCATGAACAAATGCACAGTCACCACAAGCCTTCTGGCCCCTCAGATCCCATCCTCACACAAAGCAAAGATGCTGCGTATGAGGTTCCTATACATTGACCTCTATTTTATTGGGACCGTAGATATGGTAGGCAGAAAATAGAACTTCTAAGTTACAATTCCTTTCTGATTGGTATTGGGTAGAGGAGCAAAACTGAAACCTGATTTTTTTGGTACAGTGCATTTATTAATTTCTTCCACAACCAAGAGAGACAGAAACTGAGAGAGCACCTCCAATAGTCTTGATATCATGATTTGCCCCATCCCAGCTAGGCCCAGATCATGGGCATGCATGTAAGCAGTCCCCTCAGGAAGGTCTCTGGACAAGAATCCAGACCCTTCCCAGGGGTCAACTTCACAGAGTGTCATGTTTTAAGGCTGCACAACCATCCAACTCTAACTTGTATTTTAACAATAATTTAGATTCTAAATAAAAAACTTAGTTAAGATACAAATCTTGGCAAAATTTTACTGTTCTTTGAAGTTCTCTCAATTCATTTTTTTATGCAATTTGGGAAAATATTATTTTAACAGCAATATTTGTTGTTTTCTATATTTTATTTATTTTGCATAAAATAACGTATAATAGATGATGCAAGAGTGATGGCAGGACAACATAAAAATTTGTTTCATATTGTAAGGAGAGAGGCTTTTAAAGAAGAGATTCACAATCATCAATATCTTAACTCAAGCATGATTATTATTACTGTTCATTTTTCTATTGTAAGCAGGGCTTAAAGTGAACACTGTTGACAATCTGCCATTCTTATAATGAGCCTTTTTTTTTTTGTATTTTGTCTGTTCTCTGGACCACATCAGCATGGCTTGGCAGTCTGAAATGATGAACAGCAGTTGGAAGCACATTAGGAACAAGAGCCCACACCGCCCCATCACCCTTCAGGATAACCACTGGGGGGAAGGGCTTTCAGCTAGTTTGTACTCAGCCCCCTCCTGTCCCATAGAACACAGAACTAGAAGTGAAGTTTCCAAGAAGAGCTGGGCTGGCCAAAAGGCCAACTGCCAGCAGCATCTACCAGTGGAGAACTAGGTGAGGGGGACTAAGAATCAGTACTTGGCTAGATTGGAGGGATAGTACTGCCTCTGAGGCTGTCCTCAAGCCCATGATACATATGTGCCAAGGAAGGAGTTTTTCACTGAAGTCCAGATTGGGTGTCCCCAGTGATTAAGACTCATTCGCAACACCTTGTAATTATCATTGTTACTCTTAACTGGTATTTTGTATGATGCTTCTGCTTGTTTGGAATGTCTGTTCCTCCATAGACTATAGAAATCATGAGAGCCAAAACCTTATCCCTGTAGCTCACCACTGCACTGCTGAGCCTAGAATAGTGTCTGCATGGTGACTCATAGTATTTGCCTCTGTTCAGTGTTTGCTCCACTCAAGGTACAGTTCTAAGTGTAGATGTTATAGGAAATCTCATTTAATTTTCACAAGGTCTTCATTTATTTCTGTAAGGTTTATTTATTTATTATTTATTTATTTTTGAGGGAGAAAGGGAGTGTTCCCAACAGGATCTTGACTCGGCAGTTGATCCACAGGCCTCAGCCAGCCCCAGATCATGGGCACGCCCAGAACCTTCCCACATGGGTCATGGGTCAGCCTCACAAAGCATTATATTTTAGCACTGTCCCTCCATGAGAGCTCAGATCCTCATAAAACCATTAGCAGAACCGAAGTGATAATCATCTTAGAGACAAAGAAGCCAAGGTGCAGCGAGTTTAAGCTACTTGCCAAAAGTCACATGGTTGTTGGTCAGTCATTACTGTCATTTTAATTCTATAACCTGAGCTTTTACATCTGTACACCTCTGTCTTTGTATTGTGTTTCTCTTTTCAAATTGCCAGAGGGCAAATGTGCTCAACAGAGAGAAAGAGAGAAAGGGAGAGGCAGAAAGTACTCCAATGAGGCATGGTCATGCCATAATTCCTTCTTCATTTCTCCATTTTGTGAGGATTATGAGCTCACATACAGCAGGCATGTTTTTCTAGCTGAAATTTGAACATTGGTTGACATGTAGGATTTGGCTCCCTTAACCATCAGACTACAGGACCAGAACGCCTCTGTTTTTTTTTTATTCTAGGGTTTGAGACTGGTTAATTTTGTAAATTTCTGCATGTCTACTTCAGATCAGGGAAATACATTTTATTAAATAGTGCCTCAGAGCTTCGCTGAATTTCTGTGTATGTGTAACATATAAATATATTTTTAAAACGTAAAACATAAAAATAACTCATATATGATTAGGAAATGGCTCTCAGCACTGACTACAACTTCTATTGCTACTAAATGCACAAGAGTACCTTATCTGTAACTCTCAAGACTTCAGGTTTCTCTTTTTCCAAACTTTCAGTGTAGATAGGAAAGATTTACCAACCTCGTTTCCCCACTGCCGCTCTGAGTGTTAGACCTTAGTCTTAGACCCCTGTGGCACTGCTAGATAGTGGCAGAGTAGAGACTTAGATAAAAGGTTCTAGTATCTCCCAAAAAGAACATGTGTGAGAAAACCCATAGACTCATATAATTAACCTGAACTACTATTTCTGCCTGTTTCTGCAGAGAGGCCTGCGGTCTCCACCATGAGGTGTGATCACACAGATGGCACTTTTCAACCTAAATTTAAGTGTTTTCCTTTGGACTCCTTGACTTGCCTAAAGACAGGCATCCTCATCCTTTGCTTTAGAATCCTGATGGTTAACACCAATTTACAAAGACTTTAGTTCTTAATCCATCATGTCTTCTGAAGTTCCACACAGTTAATTTAAAGGTATCATTAACTTGGTTTCTTACTGGTTTTCAAAAAAGCAAATAAGAACCCTGACATAAACCAACATGACTAATTTGGAATAAAAATTTTGTCACTATCCTCCATCAGACAATCTTACTAGGTGGGAAATAGCACAACAAAGGTTTCCCTGGAGATATTTATGTTTGCTGACTCACTACATCATCAAATATGACACTAAATTACTACTTCTTACAGAGAAATAGCACAAGAGAGCTTTTTTCCTCTTTCATCTTCAGCCATTGTTCTTAAATTTAAATTATTTACATCAAAGAACTTGGGCTTGAGATCTGAAAGTATTGTCAAATAATATTTTGAGATAACAGTCACTATGCCAAAGCATTCTAATTCACATTCTCCTTGAAGAGTATGGAAGTAGCTTGATGAGACGAGAACAG